TTACAGGTGTGAGGCAAAGCTCCCGGCCGAGGATAAAAGTTTTAATGCTTCAGCCTTTTTTCCTATGTCAGGGCCTTTGTCCACGCCATTCTCTGTGCCTAGAATGCTTTTCCGCAGCCTCCTTTCTCATCCTCAGGTTTCAGGTTCGGTGCTGCCTCTCCAAAGAGCCCATCCCCCCTGTCTGAACTGGGTCTATGCCACAGATCTCTGTACCCACACCCCCTAGTTTGTCTCCTTCATAGCAAGTGTAATATGAGGAATAGTTTTGTAAATGTCTCTGTGTATGTGTTTATAATTTGTTTCTGTACTGAAACATAAGCTACCAGAGTTTGGGTAATTGACCTGTTTTGTTCAGCACAGTAACCCTAGTACAGAGAAGGGGACCTGGAACACAGTAGGTGCTCAATAAGTAGCTGAAGAACAATGGTGAATGAATGAATGAAAATGAATGAATGAATGAATGAATGAATGGGGCTAAGGATGAGGCAGCCCTGGGGGTCCTGATTTCCTCATCAGCTTCCTCACTGTCTGTAGGAACTCCCCCACAACCCCACCTCAGGCAACACCCTCCGTTCCAGGAGTGTGAATAATCACGACTAATGTCATCAGATTAGTAAAAAGGAACTTTCAAAGAAGGACAGTGGGCTGCCCAGGGTCACACAGTGAGCTCTCATCTCAGTGAGTTCTCAGGCTGGGGAAGAACCAGCCAGGTGCTCCTGGATCAGAAAGGAGACTCTGTCACTCACTCACAGTGGGAACTGGGCTGTATCTCTGCCTTTCTCTGAGCCTCAGTTTTCCTCGTCTGTGGAATGGGGGCAGCAGGCTTAGCCTGGCTGGGAAGTGTGAGGCAGGGAAGCGTGGTTAGTGTTAGGGGTGTGGTTAGGGTTAGTTGCTTTCATCTTTTTTTTTTTCCCGATGGCAAGGGGTGGGTTATGGGTGTCTGAAGACAGGTATGTTGGGGACCTCAGGCTTACAGCTTAATCAGTAGAAGCTGAAGGTGAGAGGAAGGGCCTTCTGTTCCCCAGCTCGTGCAACCTGAGGCTGTGCGACCTCTCAGCCTCTCTCTCCTAGCCAGGCAGTAAATATTAGCTCCAGCAATCTTTCCCTCCTGGCACCTCTTCCAGCCTGTGTAACCTCTCCTAGCTGAGGAGCATGAAATCCCAGCCCCTGCAGTCCCCGCTCCCCACCCCCGCCGCCTGTGCAACCTTGATCTCTCTGCAAGCCCTGTCATCCCGTGCAGCCTTGCCCAAACCTTGCAACCTCTCAGCCTCTGCAGCCAGATCTCACTCCAGCTCCCTTTCCTCCAGCCCAGGAGGGGCTGGGTGTAGAGCAGTGGAAGGGGGCTTTCAAGTGTGACAGCTAGAGGCCATGAGGTCGGGACGGGGCTGGCCACCCACCCTCTCTCACCCCTCAGCTCCCAGCAGCCCCGTCTGCCTGCCCTGGCCCTGGCCATAAAGGACTGGTGTTACTGATTCATTCTGGGGAAAGTTGGCAAGCCCTCGTTCTAGTCAAGCCCACTTGGCAGATGAGGAAAAGAAGGCCCAGAAAGGCACAGGGCCTTGTCGTGTTCACACAGCGAGTGACAGCCCAGGCCTGAGCTGGGAGCTGGGTTGGGGCACTTACCCCACTTCCCTGGGGACAGTGGGCACCCCTGAGGGGCGGAGGTGGCCAGATCCTTCCTGGGGGCTGCAGAGACCAGCAGGCTGGGTTCCAGACACAGATGTCCTGGGCAGTCGGGGGCCCTCCATGGGGCCCCTGACCCCCAGCCTGGGGAATATTCTCAGGTCGTCACAGAAGTTCCAGATTTACTCAGAGGTCTCATTTTAGCTGTCATGAAAAGTCCCTTTGGCCTGGGGCCAGGGCAGGGAGTGGGGGTGGTGGCACCTGCGAGCCAGGGGTGGGGGTGGGTTCCTCCCAATGCCCCTCCCCCTCCCCCTCACTTGTCCCGGGGCTCTGGAGGACAAGTAAGGAGGGCATGTGAGGAAGGGGAGTGAGGGCGAGAAGACCCTCTTTCTGGAGGAAGCACCTGTTCCTCTCTGTTCGCTACTTCCTTCTAGATGGTTCCCTGAGTGACCCTAGAAAATCCCCACCCTGCTCTGAACCTCAGTTTCCCCATCTGTAAAAGAGGAAAGCAGAATCATCACAAGAGCTCTCATTTATAAAGGTCTGGTATATGCCAATATGACGAATATTTATGATTTTTATTTTGTTAACTGTATTTTCGCAGCTAAAAGCAAAGGGCTTTTAAATATTTAAAGTAAAACATAGGACCGTAACAGTGGCTCATGCCTGTAATCCCAGGACTTTGGGACGATGAGGTGGGCAAATCACTTGATCCCAGGAGTTCGAGACCAGCCTGGCCAACATGGTGAAACCCCATCTCTACTAAAAATGCAAAAATTAGCCTGGTGTGGTGGCGTGTGCCTGTAGTCCCAGCTACTCTGGAGGCTGAGGCAGGAGAATCGCTTGAATCTGGGAGGTGGAGGTTGTAGTGAGCCGAGATCAGGCCACCCTACTTCAGCCTGGGTGATACAGCGAGACTCTGTCTCAAAAATTTTTTTTGAAAAAGTAAAACATAATAGCAGCCCCTTCTCATGAGCTGCCTGTGCCCAGCTCTTTTGCCTTCGTCATCACGCTGGCTTTTTCTCTCTGTGCACCCCGGAGCTTCAGGACCTAGGGAGGTGCCTGGACCATGGCAGATATTCAATAAGAACAGGCCGATGAAGACCTGTGCCTGTCCCCATGGAAACAGACCTAAGACAGTCATCCTTACTCCTAGTCCCACTCTTACAGGTACAGCAGCTGAGCTTCAGAGAGGGCAAGCGGCTTCCTCAAGGTCACACAGGTACTCAGTGGTGGAGCTGGGACTTGAACCCAGCTCTGACCAGTTCTACAGCTCAATGTCACAAGGGGTGGTGTGCTTGGAAGCCAGGTCCAGTGCCCCCACCTGACCGTGGGGACCCCTTCCCTGTTGTGTAGAGAAGGGCCCTGCGTCTGCCTGTGAGGATGCTAGCTCCCCTCTCTGGCTGTGGAAGGAACGGATACCCCTCCTTTCTTTCATTCATTTATTTATCAGGCACCCAGCTGGTCCTGATGCTGCAAAGAAGTAGGTTCTTCCCAGAGCTTCTGGTGACCGGCTTTTTCTTGAATGGTCCTCCTCCTTCGGTATCCACCCCCAACTCTACTGCCCACAAGCCCCTACCGGCTCTAATCCCCACCTCCCTGCTCCTTCTCCTGGCCTGAAGCCAGCTTCGCCGGGCAGCAGGGAGCCTGCAGTCTGAGCTCAGGGCCGTCTTCACCTTGCTCTCCCACCTCTCCTGGGCCTGGATTCCGGCCACCTCCTATCACAAGGGCCCTTAGCTACCTCCACTGCAGGACTGCGTAAGGATCCCGACAGCCTGCTGGCAGGGGAGTGGGCAAGACAGGGGCATCGCGGAACCCATGGTGGGGAGTGGGGGAGGAGGACCTCTTTTCTGGGGGCTGCCCGTCCCGTGGGAATGAATGCCCAGCCATCCCCATCCAATGCTGCTTCTCAGAAGCCACCCAGAACCAGGAGTCTTGTTTACATGCTATTCTGTCTAGCAGGTGGTGACCTTGTTGTCCTACAGACTGGCGTCCAATCCCAGCTTCGTGTCATCCGGTCACAGCTAACCTGGGGCAAGGTTGTCCCCACTAAGCCTCACTCTCCTCATCTGTGAAATGGGCTGAATGACGCCACCCACTTCACCTGGTGAGGACTATGGGAGACCCTTAAGTGCCTACAACGTCGTGAGTTGGCACTGGGGGGGGACAAGAACCAGGTGGCTGGGGTAGGCGGGACCACAGCAACCTGAGGGTGTCCCTCAATCTGTCACTGTTGGAGTCTGGCCCTTCTCCATGGGCTCAAGGCTTCTCATGCCACAAACTCCCTTCCACAAAGGGAAAGGGCCAACTGGGAGTGCAGCTCTCACCCTGTTCTGCCCTGAAGGCCCCACAGCCAGCCCCACAAGGGTGGAGCTACCTTGGTCCCCATTTCACAGGTGAGAAAACCAAGCCTTCTTGAGGCTAGAAGCAGAGAGATTTGCCCAACTTCGCTGAGCGAGGAAGGCGCGTGGCCTGGTTGTGACCCGGCAGGTTTTCCCCCATTCCACCATGTGCTTCTGAAAGTCCCACTCTCCCCCCAGGGAGGCACAGATGTCCTCCTCACAGCAGCCTCCTGGTTTTGAAGCCTCCACACCTGGCCTTCTGCCTTCACTGAGCAGAGACGTCATTCCTGCGGCAAGTCCCAAGTTCCCACTCCCCAGGACTCCTCCACCAGGAATGTTTCCTCCTTTCCCATCCTTCAGGGCTCAGCCTCCACTGACCTCCCCACTCCCCTCTCCTCCACATGCACACTGGGTTAGCCTCTTACCATCTGATCCATTCCCCGTGCTTCATGAGAAAGATCCAGTGACAGCTCATGGGGTTACCTGGTTTGACTGCCCACCCTGCTACAGCCCGGTTGAGTCCCCAAGGGAAAGTCACTGTACCTCTCGCAGCCTCATTTGCTCATCTGTGAAATGGGCACACCAGCCCTTGTTTTGAAGGATTGGGTGGAATCAAGATGGTAAAACACAGAACCTGGCACAGAATGGGTCCCATCAGGCTCTGCACCCATGCCCATCACCACCCGACTCAGCTGCCCAGAATCAGGTGATTGACACATTATGTTTGGCCTGAAACTGGCTCTCCTTCCAGGACCCCCTGCCTTTTGGAGGCCAGTTTTCAAGGCAGGGGGTCATCTCAGCCACACCCCTGCTGCTGGGTCCCCGGGCATCCTAAGCTGTGCTGAACAAGAGACCCCAGCCTCAATTCTGCCCAGCCTCACTGCATGAACATTCTTTGCCTCAGCGTCCCCAATTGTGCCTTGGGCACGTCCTCTGAGGCCTCCCACTGTGACGCTAGATGCAGCAGGCAGGGAACAGTCCCTCCTGGGCAGAGAAGGCACCCTGGTCCCAGCGGAGAACCAGGGCTGGAGTTACCTTCTGTTTCAGCTTCCTTCTCACAAGTCCATTCCGTGTGCTGGGGGCAATCTGATGGACTTCTGGGGGAGGCAGCTGGGTTCAGCGTAGGGGTGACAGATGAGGGTCTGAGAAAGAAGGCAGGGGCCGGGGGTGAGAATCCACACCCAGGCCGAGTCACCAATCAGGCTGTCATAAGACCTGTCGCTCCGATGACGGGCAGCTGGGCCTCCAAGCAGGTGTCCCACAGAGCAGTAGAAAGAGGAAGGGGACGGGAGGCGGGTACCAGGCGGCCTCGGCAGGGATGCGCGACGCGGCTGCGTGACTGTCAGCCACGCTCAGGGAGAGGCAGGCAGATGGTCAGCCGCCGAACTTACGGTCACTCAGCAGAGAGACGCCAGCGGGTCTGTCCGAGGCCGCTGGCTGCCACCCAGCCGCGTGTGCAGAGTGGGGAGGAAGGGGAGGATGTGGTGAGCCGCTCTCCGCCGGCCCCGCCCACCCCGCCCACCCGCAGCTGGGCCCTCGGGGAGGGAGTGACAAGGAGATGAGGGGGGCCTGGCCCCACAGCAGGCACCCGCTGTCACCAAAGGTCACCTGCAAAGAAGACATTTGGGGCCATCGGGTGACACTTGCCTCTTGGGGAGCTGTGATCTCATCCCCCCAGGCCTCTCCGTCATGACTCACGAGGCAGGCAGAGCGGCCTGGAGCCACCACAGAGCGCAGATGTGGAAACCGAGACCAGAGGCGTGAAGTGGTGGCACAGTTTGGCCCGTGGACCCAGAGTCCTCAGTGGCCGAATCCAAGCCCGCAGCAGAGAGAAGGACCAGAGCCTTGCCCAAGGTCCCACGGAAGTCCTTTTCCAGACTTTGCAAACCAGTCTATTTCTCATTCCCGAGCCCCTTCTGCCTAGTTGTGGGCCGAGCTTGGGACCTTCTGCTCTCGCTTGACCCCCATCCCTCTCTGCCTCCATTTCCTTTGGATCCAGCCTCCTGCTGCAGAGCTCCAGGGAGCGAGACCCCTTGGGCACGTCACATCACCTCTCTGAATCCCTCACTTTGCCCATCTGTCAAATGGGAGTGCCTAGCTGTGAAGAAGAAGGCAGTCATTAACCCTTGGAAACTCAAGAAGAAAATAGAGAAAAGAAATTCTCAAGAGTGTTTTCATCTTGCTAACATGCCAGAAGCCCACGAGAGGGTCGGATGTTTCTGGAAGACATTTAAGAAACCAGGGGACAAAATTTAACAAGCTCAATTCCTAGCAGTTCCAAAAGAAAGAGAGCAAGAGAACTGCTCCCACCACCACTGCTCCCTCTGCCATCACCACCGCCCTGAATTACTCTGGTGCCTACATGATCTCACCTTATCCCACAAAGTGTGGGGCAGACAAAAGTCGTCCCATTTTACAGATGGAGAGACTGAGGCCCAGAGGAGTGAGACATCACACAAGCCAAGAATTAGAGCTGGGATTTGCACCGGGGTGTAATTGATTCCTAAGCTCATATCAAGCTGTGAAAATAGTGCCATGCCAGGATGAAATGTCCCACGATGGGGGGAGGCTATTTTGTGCTGTTTTGATAACAAAGTCACCTTGTTGAGAGCAAATTCTGACAAGTGTGATGTATCATACTGTTTGCTGAGAGCAGCAGCAAGGAAAACCTAGTCAGCCCCCCAAAGCAGAAAATTGCTCAAAGCGTTATAAAACAGTAACCAATATGAATATGTCTCACATCAGATGAATGAGTTCTTTGAACGCAGGATATGTGACTCTTTCCTTTGTTCCCTCGTAGAGCGCTTTCTAGTTTATCTTTAGCCTACAGTGAACATGCACTAGCTGCCTGGTTAGTTTACCTTTAACCAATGAAGAACACGGAGCATCTGCTTGTAAAACGTGTCACCATAAAGTAAGGAATAGATACAGGGGTCAGAGTGTGTTTTGGGCTCTCAGCTGGGAATGCTGTGAGACCCCTGATCGCCCACCTTTTACTTTCTGTCTCTGCGTCTGTTTCTTAATTCCTTCAGTGCCGCCTGGGCTGGGGTCTCCGTGGCTGAGCTGGTCTTGGCATCAGCTCAGATGCGCTTGGTAGCTCTCCCAGCTGACTCATTTTTGGGAATTAACTTGCTGCTGACCTTCATGACAGTGCCAGAGAAAAAAGAGAAAGCGTCTTGCTATTCTTTATTTTTTTTTTTCTAGCTGTATTTGAGGAACTTGGTACAAATTCCCCTGGGGTTGATTCAAAGGATCCTGGTCCTGTAGAGCTTCTCTTCCCAGTCACCAAAATATTTCGTGTTCTCTGGAGAACGAATCTTGGGAAGACGCCAGCTTTTGTTTTTCTTTCTCTTGATCTTCAGGGTGAATTCTCTGATAACATGCACTGAAATCTGTGGTGGTTGAAAGATAAGGAGAAGAGATAGGGAAAAAGAGCTGATATTTGCTGAAAGCTCGCCATGTGCCAGGGCTTAAGGGACTTTAAAGATGCATCTTCTCATCTAAACCTCAGAAATACTCAAGAAGGCTGTGTGCAGTGGCGCACACTTATAATTCCAGCATTTTGAGAGGCTGAGGTGGGAGGATTGCTTGAGGCTAGGGGTTCAAGACCAGTCTGGGCAGCAGAGCAAGACCCTGTCTCTACAAAAAAAATTTTAAAAATTAAACAGTCATGGTGGTGCATGCCTGTAGTCCCAGCTACTCTGGAGGCTGAGGTGGGAGGATCACTTGAGCCAAGGAGTTTGAGGCTGCAGTGAGCTATGACCGCAGTGCTGTACTCCAGCCTGGGCAACAGAGCAAGACCCTGTCTCCAAAAATAAAATCCTCAAAATGAAAAAGAATGAGTCCAGAAGATAGCTATCATCATCATCATTGTCCCTGTTTTACAGATAAGGAAACTGAGGCTCAGAGAGGTTAAGTGACTTGACCAAGGTCACACAGCTGATGAGTGGCAGAGCTGGGATCTGAACGCAGTCATTTGGGCTCCAGAGCCCACACTCTTGTTAACTTGCTACACTGTTCCTGGGTGTGTATTAAAACAAGGATATTTAATTTTTCCTCCTTCCCTGCTACCTGCCTTCCTTCCTTACCTACCTGCTCTCTACCGGCCCACCTACCTATTCACCTACTCATTCTTCTCTGCACCCACCCAGATATTTCTTGCTTCATCCCCCTAATATTTATTGAGGAGACTCAGAGGGGTTAAGTAACTTGTCCAAGGTCACACAGCTTAGTTACGTCTTAGGGATAGCCCACAGAAATATACACACAGTGACAGCCCCCATGGGGGCCTATATTCTAGTAGGGAGAGACAGACAAAAAGAAGTAACAGACAAACTCAGGGCAAACTGTACTAAATGTCATAGGAAACCAAGGTTGTGACATTTGGGGGTAGACTAGGTGACAAGAAGGGACCAGCCATGGGGAGAACCTTTCAGGCAGAAGGATCTGTAAGTGCAAAGGCACTGAGGTAGGAAAGGATGTGGCTAGCTCCAGGGGCTCGAGAACAGCATGGTGGAATACAGTGAGCAGATGCGCAAACAGTAGAAGGTGAAGGCGTGGAAATCACACGTCTATGCCGCATGGGACCTCACAGATCAGGGTGAGAAAGTTCGATTGTTCCAAAGGAAATGGGAAGTCATCACTGGAGGGTTTCATCTTAGGAGTGGCTTAATCCAGTTTACATTTTCAACTCAGGCCAGGAGTTGGGGAGTGGGTGGGATCAGTAGGGGTCACAGTCCCTTGGTGCTTAAAAAGTAGATGCAATTTGGAGCTCAACATTTACCAACTGCCAGACACATGTCCATTGGGGTGAACATGTGTCCCCTCAAAAATAGATGTGTGGTCCCTTGAGGGGTCCTCTGGGTCTGTAAATGTCTCATAAACAGGGCTCCTGTACCCTGGGAGGAGGGTGCAATAGAATCTCAGTGGCACTCCCAACATGCCTCAGTACTCATAGCTGGTCAGTGGAGGAAGCGGTCACATTTGCATTTCAGTCAAGGGGCCTCCTGGGAGAAAATAATTGACACACCCCCCTCCCTCAACCCATTTCCTCTTTTTTATTTTTGAGAGCTTTATTTAGCTATACTTAACATAAACTTGAGCGACCGTAAGGGTACAGTCCAGTGATTTTTAGTGAACTTATTGAATTGCCTGAACCTGGGAAGTGGAGGTTGCAGTGAGCAGAGACAGTGCCACTGCACTCCAGCCTGGGAGACAGAGCCAGACTCCGTCTCAAAAAAGCAATCAATACATGAATATATAAATAAATTTAAATAAATAAATAATAAAGATTCATTTTTATTGCTGAAGCATGTTACGTCGCCTAGATATGCCACATCATTTATCCTTTCATGAGACGATGGACATTTGGCGTATGTCCACTTTTTCCTTTATGACGAGCAAGCATGCTATGAACGCTTGCCTATAAGTCTTTGCGTAGACATGGGTTTTCAAATCTTTTGGATGTATTCCCAGGAGTAAACTTCTTGGGTTATATGGTAATTCTCAGTTTAATTTATTAAGGAACTGACAAACTGCTTTTCACAGCGACTGCACTGTATTACATTCCCAGTAGAAAGAGAGAAATATAGGAAGGTTCCCATTTCTCTCCGTCCCTGATAACATGCATTTTCTGTTGGTTTTCATTATAGCCATCGTAGCGGATGTGAAGTGGTGGCTCATTGTGGTTTTGATTTGCATTTTCCTCATGGCTAATGATGTTAAGCATCTCTGCATGTGCTTGGTAGTCATTTGTATATCTTTTTTGGAGGAATGTCTATTCAAGTCCCTCACCAAATTTTATTTTATTTTATTTTTGACACGGAGTCTTGCTCTGTCTCCCAGACTGGAGTGCAGTGGTGCGATCTCGGCTCATTGAAACTTCTACCTCCTGGGTTTAGGTGATTCTTGTGCCTCAGCCTCCAGAGTAGCTGGGATTACAGGCGTATGCCACCACACCCAGCTAATTTTTGTGTTTTTAGTAGAGACGGGTTTTCACCATGTTGGCTAGGCTGGTCTCGAACTCCTGACCTCAGGTGATGCACCTGCCTCAGCCTCCCAAAGTGCTGGGATTACAGGTGTGAGCCACCGTGCCTGGCCCCTTGCCAATTTTTAAATTGGATTGCTCATCATTTTTTGTTGAGTTGTAAGAGTTCTTTATTTATCATGGAAACTCACCTTTATCAGATGTATGAGTTGCAAATATTTTTCCCATTCTGTGGCTTTTAACTTTTTTGATAGCGTGATTTAATACAAAAAATTTTTTTAATAAATTGACTATAGATTCATAGGTTTATTTCTGAACTCTAAGTTCAATCCCGTTGATCTGTATGTCCATTCTTATGCCAGTATTATCACACTGTTTTGATCACTGTAGCTATGCAGTAAGTTGTGGGTTTTGTTTGTTTGTTTGTTTGTTTTTTGAGACAGAGATTTGCTCTTTTCCACCAGGCTGGAGTGCAACGGTGCAATTTTGGCACTGCAGTAAATTTTAAAATTGGGACTT